AGTATCACATTTATTTCAAAATGTTTGTATATAAACAAAGTACGGTAAATAAGATAAATATAGTGGAGAAAAGCAATACAAAAATAGTAATATTGATGTAATGAAGTTACTTAAATTACATTTACCTAAGAGCTGAATATGAATACTATGCCTTGGAGTACAAACACAGCAAGGATGATTAATACTTCTAGCTTTAGCTAGAATGACTATAGGTCTTAAGATTAAAAATGTAAACCATGTACAATAATTAGTTAAAAGATGGGACTAGCTACATATGGCAGGGTGCAAGTGTCAAGTGTGAAGTTAAGTACACCTTTCATGACATCAAATGGCAGTGACATCAGCAGCAGGTGAGCCCTTAGCACCAAAGAATACAGGAAGACGTTGTCTACATAACTCTCATCATTATTTTTTGAAATGTCACATTATTAGACAGAGTGTGGAAATACAAATACGTACTGGTATACCCAGATACGGAAACGGTCCCGTCAGGTTTGTACCTGCTTGGAGATCTGCCAAAACAAGCCTATGCTAACTCTTTGAAAGGTCCAAAACTGCTAAGACCGTTTCCCAGCTTCCAGAAGGGTACAGTTACTATTAAAATACATTCGTGTCAATGTGAAGATGAGGTCACATGGCACCATTAATACTGGAAACAGTTCTCTGGTGAGTGCTAGAGGTAAGGCTCAGAGATAGGTTTGCATTGCCTTTTGTAGATTTGGAGGGTAACGTTTCAAGTAACGGAGTACTCTCGGTTGAGAGAGGTGGTCGGACTTGTTCATCATCAATGGCATCATTGAGTGCGCTGCGTCCAGAGAGTTTGCGACAAGGAATGTATACTTTATCTGACCCTCCTGTCCAACGCCGATAAACCATGCTGTTAAATAGAGCCTGCAAAGGGTTCATGACAGCCTGAAAATGAAAATAGCACAAGTAGATAAGGTAAAATAAATAATTAATAATATACTTTCTTAATTTTGTTTCTATGTTTGTGTGCTTTTAGAACTGACCATGATGTACCACAAAGAGATGATGACATTAGTTGGTAGATTATACCAAAGGGTCCACAGCAAAATGCCATTGATAATATTGGGAAGCCAACAAGCATAGAAAGCAAGATTGATGAAGGCAAGTTTAAGGCGGACTGTGTCAACCAATCCTCTCTCTTTGCTGGTAAATTGAGCAAGACTGCAAACCACAGCTGTGTGCACAGCTTGAGCTACATCACAGTAAAGGATTGGATTTACAATCATTACCACTGCCATTGGGACATAAGTGGCAAGGTAATTAGGCAGTATGTGAAGAACAGCACTTCCCAATGTTTTGAGATTATGACAGCTGTGCCAAAAAAAATAATTGTAATACAGTAAGATTAGAAACTGCATATTTCATAAACTTCATCACCAAAACATTAAATATTACATATAAATTTGTCACATACTTTGCATCGGGAATGTAAAGAATAGATAGTCCAACTGATGTCAGTACAGCAGGAATAATCCAACAACACATGTGGTATAGTACTGGATGACCAGGGCGTTCTCGAAGAACCAGTCTCATATCAATTGCATAACAAAGTGTCCAGAACCATGTGGCAGTGTAGAAATACTGAATCCAGGCCTGAAAATAAGGGAACAAAATTTACTGTAAATGATTTAAAAATTTCAAATTATTAACAGTCAAAAGCTGCTTACAGAAACAATAGCACAAAATAACACAGATGAATCACTGTCTGGATTCATGAGAGATCTGTAGTTCAGCCATAGAGCTGATCTGATGAATACACCTGGAGCAATGAGACAGGAAAAGTTAGGACCACGTTTCCAGAGGAGTTGTGCGATTCTGAATGTAGAAAATACGCACCTAGGGAAGCAAGCAGGTCAGCAACAGCCAACCAAACAACCATTTGACGCCCTCGAGTAGCTGATTGAGTAAGCCACCTGTGGGACAAATAGGGCTCCTCACGGGGAAGAACCTGCAAAATACATGGAAAGATAAACTTCCTTCTTAGAGAGAATTTTTTAAAGAGAAAGAAAAAATATTTTAATAAGTCAGAGAAATAAATTATGCATAAATTACAAATTCTTTTTCTATAGTAGTTGCAACATTTAGCTGAATTAGTTTTTTCACCTGATAAACTGCCCCCAAGATGCCAATGGAAGAGGAGATAAGACACACAGTACTGTAGGAATTTGAATTAAAAGCTTGCATAATATCAACAGACGAATCAGCTTTGTCTGGCTGGTGGCAGCAAAATGTTTGAATAGTAGGGTCTGCCATTGCCGGTCAGGTTAAAAGATAATGTAAACAAAAGCAGACAGGGGAATAGTTTCTGGTAAATAGAGGCTTGAAGATAAGCTATATAATCATGTCTTAAGTCAACCACTGGTTACAGACACCACTTGAAATGCGGATAAGATGGTAATTTCTCCATCTTTGACACTTTACAAAAGGTTTTGTAGTTTTCCCTATCTGTGGTTACATAATCGTCAAGTTCAAGTTCCCCCCTCATTCATCGGCTGCTGGACAAGTGTTGTCGTTTGTTGTTTTGTTGTTTCTTCCGCTGGACAAGAATGCGAGACTGTACTTAAACGTACATACCTATGGACAGGAAGGCGCGTACACAACAAGTTCTCGGGTTTTGAATAATTATAAAAAAAAAGGGCAATTAAATAAGTGAAATCAACTTAACGCATATAAATGAACGTTTGTAAACTTGGTCAAACTTTTAAACCAGACTGACCTGGGCTATCTGGTATATCTCTTCGCCACAACAGTGAAGAAGGAAAAGAATACACAGCCTTGCCAAAACACTACAGCCTCGGACTTCCTTTCCTGTGTACGCGTGTGCTAGTGAGGACTTCGGCGTCCGTAAACTAAGTGAGTAATCTCTCTTTATTTTCTGCATCTGCACCGGTTTTTATTAAGATTGTGTCCACGCCAATTTTATTGATTGCAAGGATCCCCTTTTCTATGACCGCGGCGACAGATGTCGTGCAATTTTTTAAATAGCGGCATTATAACCTATCGGTAAACACCGACTGTGTCTTGCTAAGTGAACACCTTTCCACTTTAAGTGTTAATTTGATTAAATTTCATGCCAGTTTTTGGAGTCTGATTTAATAAATATCTTACTGCTCATATCACCCTTTCCTTAGTTTATTGATAGATGACCAAATCTCACTGTAAGCCGGAGCTCGTCGTGTTGTCTAACCTAGTCAATGCGCGATGTCCCGTTCCAAGTCATGGGCTCGAATCATTAGTAATTATTGTCGTGGGTCGTAACTATTTCATTTCACATTTGGTGTAGTGGGGGAGTAATTTCTTTCCACTTTGAATTTGTAGTCCTCTTGTCCAGGTGTTCAGTTAATTTTAAGTTACATGTTAGTAAACACTACTTCAGTACTACCCCTACTAACTGTACCACATTTTCTTGTGTTGCAGAACAAAATGGTCCGAATTAACGTTTTGGCGGACGCCCTCAAAACTATCAACAATGCTGAAAAGCGCGGTAAACGCCAGGTCCTTATCAGGCCTAACTCAAAGGTTATCGTCAAATTCTTGGGAGTTATGATGAAGAAAGGTAAGCAGCTTGTTGAAATTACATACTTGGTATCTAACCTGCTGATGCACTGCTAGGTAGTAGTTATTCTAATCAGCCTGTTGTACATGTCCCTGTTTGGTTGAGGTATTGTCCACCAGCGGTCATGTCTCTTACTATGCAGGGAATATTAAAATCTCTCTTTAAACCCAGATAATTATTAATTTCATGTCTTTATTTGGACCTGTCTGGGAGTACATAGTTACATGTCATAGCTACACAGTCAAAGTTCCTGAATTCCCCTGTTTGGTTGAGACATGAACACCAGCGTTTTTGTCTCTTACTAGGCAGGGCATATTATCATGCTCTCTTTAAACCCAGTTAAGTTGACATTTTTGTCATTATCTGGACCTGTCTGGGAGTACATGCTTGCCTTTCAAATGAATGAAGATGTATTAGTACCCTGTTTGGTTGAGACCAGAGCACCAGCGTTCTTTTCTCTTACTAGGCAGGGAAAATTATTTTTTCTCTTTAAACCCAGATACAATTAGGCCCTATGCCTGTATCTGGACCTGTCTGGGAAAACATCATTGTTCAATAACTTTCAGCTTCCCTGTTTGGTTGAGATATGGGCTCCAGCGTTCGTATCTCTTACTAGGCAGGGAAAATTAAATTTTCTCTTTAAACCCAGGTACATCAATGCCCTATGCCTGTACCTGGACCTGTCTGGGAAAACATGATCCTCCTGCAATAACTGTCAGTTTCCCTGTTTGGTTGAGATATGAGCTCCAGCGTTCTTCTCTCTTACTAGGCAGGGAATATTAATTTCCTCTCTTTAAACCCAGATGTGACTAGGCTCAATGCCAATATCTGGACCTGTCTGGGAGAACAAAGTGCTACTTAAATTTGTTTTTGCTCTGTTTGGTTGAGACCTGAGCACCAGCGTTCATGTCTCTTACTAGGCAGGGCATATTATCATTCTCTCTTTAAACCCTGGTATACTTAGGCTTTATGCCTCTACCTGGACCTGTCTGGGAGGACAATTACTAGCCATTTCAGGACACTTTTAGACTGCATATTGGTTTATGTCTAATTTATTTTTAATTCTTTTTTTGTAGGATATATTGGAGAATTTGAAATTGTTGATGACCACCGCGCTGGCAAGATAGTTGTCAACCTCACGGGCAGGCTCAACAAATGCGGTGTGATCTCACCCAGGTTCGATGTGCCCATTAGGGATATTGAAAAATGGACGAACAACTTATTGCCGAGTCGTCAGTTTGGGTAAGAAGTCTAGACTTTCTCCTAAATTATATCCTAATTTTGCTGTGACAGATGCCATATTAATTTGGTCTTTTGCAGGTATGTGGTTCTTACTACCTCTGGTGGTATCATGGATCATGAGGAGGCCAGAAGGAAACATCTGGGAGGTAAAATCCTGGGTTTCTTTTTCTAAGTAATAAACATTTCACTTAAAAATCTTGATTCTCATTTGCTCCACTCTTCCGATCTACATCCGCTGGCTTCGTGCATGGAATGTGTGAACAGTTAAGTCTTCAAGAAAATAACTTATTACATTGACATATGCAGGGTTTAGACAGACATCAATTGGCATTTGTTGGTCACATTCTAGTGGGTTTTAGAGGTATCTAATTTGCTGATTTTCAACTAAAACATATCCCCAAAAAAGAGAACTGATGCAATTGTAAACCCTGTAAATACTACCTCCAAACCATAGAGGTTCTATCCTAAGAAAGTTAAAGTCCTTTTCTACACTGAAGTTAAATGAGCTGAAGGAAGTTCAGACTGGCATTCCACTGGCCGCACTGATGAACGAATAGTGCCTTTACAGCACGATTTTTGTAATGCTATACTGTCCGTTGGTTCCAAAAATGACTGATTCATAGGATAGGAGGGCAGGGCAACCATTTACAGTGAACTGTTATGCAACCTAAACAAACCGACGGTTCATGTTCAGTTCTATCCGGAATGCAGACGAGTAGACTGGTAGTAAAAGCATTTGTTCCGACGGGGCACAGCGACCACCTTGCCCAGCTGTGTCACCAAAAGCTCTGCTGGACACTTGCAGTACTATACTCGGTCTAGGGAAAGAGTGCGTCTCTGAATAGCATAGGCTCTTATGGGAGGGTATAAAAGACCTCGGCTCCCTCTTTTGTGATAGATAGACCGTAGTAAGCTCATCACCCTCAGGGTGGGCAGGGATTGAACTATAGTCGGCCCACTATTACTTTACCGTTCGGAAAAGGTCACGTGATGGGCCCGAACGCCTTCTAAGCCAATCAGAAGCCTCGTCGGCGAAAAGCCGAACGGTAAAGTAATCGTGGGACGACTGTATTTGCTAAAGTGCGAGATAAACGCAAAGGAAACAGGGGAATCAACAGGACACTATCTATCCTCGCCTCACGAGTAGCCTCGGGGAATCGTCCCAGATCATAGAGACCCAGATTTGACCCAGGGGAGGCTGCAGAGCTCGACTAAGGGTGGTATTCATCACCAAGCCAGCCTTCCCTCCCAAGACGTAGGCAACCTATTCGCCAGCCCTGCTCGGCGGGCTGGCCGCCCCCGCGGCGCGTGGGCAGTTAGTGGCGCGCTCAGGCGGAGCCGACGACAACTTCGACGCGGGCCGCGGGTCCGCTCGCGCGCTGCCGCCGTCGCTCGGCCGCGCATGCGCGCTGGGGGCTCGGCGTGCCGCCGGCATTCCAAACGTGCGCCTGTCCTGTCCAGCGGCCAGCCGCCAGCCGCCAGCCCGCAGCCAGCCAGTAGTTGCTTGCTTGCGCGCCGAGCGTTGCCGCTGTTGCCTTGGCTGGCACGCCGTCGCGCCGTCCTCACACTCCAACGCCGCGAATGAAACCGTCCGCCGCCCTGTGAATCTAGTGCCGCCGAGTGCGTTGTGCCCGTGGGAGTGCAGTGTGTGGTGCATCAGTGCTAGTGTGTGTGTGTGTGTGTGTGTGTGCGTGTGATGGCGCGGTGGAGCCGCCTGCTCCCCAGGGTGTCGCGGGAGGTGTGACGGAGGCAGCCTGCGCCA